TGTATTAGATCGTGATGCGATTCTACCGGTACCTGACATGGTCTCAGAGACGACATTGCTGCGAGATGCAATAGGATCATTTGTTGCATGGCCCTCGGAGCTCATTACCATTAGTGATGAGGTATACTGAAAACGATTATGAATCATTTAGTTTTCGAATGTCAATTCTAAACCGTTTATTAATTATTTTTTACATTTTAATTTTAGACTGCTCCTATAAAACCCGCAATTAAGGGTAAAGGGATTTTACAGGAGGAGGAGTCTGTTGCATCACTAAAAGAGGTACATTTAAAGTGTTAATATATAGTCTGAATCTAAATCTGCATGATTTTATATTTTACCTAACTTATATGATTTTTAGGCATCCGCTCGGGAGTCACAACAAGTGACGCAGCAGGTTCGTAGCGTACCACCCACTGGTCCTCCGAAGCAAGCGGCAAAAAAAGGCGGTGCTTTTGTGCCTCGATACCGTTCGACACTCGCAACAATGGTTGATATGTCCGATTTGAAGGATGGTGGTTTACGTGAAATCAACATGGATGAAAGTGTCTTCGGTATTGAATTCCCGTCACATATTACAATTGATGACTTGGAAGAGATTTTTAGGCATGATCAACTAGGCGTCAGTAATATGCACTCATACATCCGGTAATATTCACTCATCCGATATATTATTTAATTAGTCCCACAATATAATTTATTTACACATTTCAATGAAAATAATCTAATGTTTATTATGTTTTTATTTAAGGTTGTTGTATGACAGAGTGTTGCGCGGGACTTCATTGTCTAACAGATTCCGTTTCGTGTCTTCCGCCCATTGCAGCGGAATGACAATTGCTTCGGAACCGGAATCAGTTAGACAGCGCTTAGTAGATAGATTCATGTCCACCGGCAATACAGAAAGTCTGCATCTTTGGGCGTATAATACCCGACCAGTAGGGTTAGTTTCTCATTCTTGGTTCATCTAATCTCTGTTTCTTTTGTGTATAGCAAAATTTTCATATAACCTATTGTTTTAATTTATAGAGCACACTGGTTGCTGCTTGCTATCAACCCGATAAGAGAAGTCGTGTATTATCTGAATTCGGTAAATGGTGAATGGACCAATTATCCGGCTATGAAGGAAATCGTTGATTTGTAAGTGGGATCGTTCTAAATATATATTCGTGTATATTTATATATTTTCTTATTTGTGGGATTGATCTAAACATATGCTTTTATATATTTAATAATTAGATCAATACAAGTGTTCCGTAGTCAACGGGACGCACAGGTATCCCGGACTAAATCAAACAACATCACTTGGATCCAAGTGCAGGTACATTACTTTTCACAATTTTGCTTATAATATTTATGCTACTTGGTAAAACAAGACAACTATAGAATCTTATTTGTTTTATTATGTAGTGTCCGCAACAGCGAAACAGTCATGATTGCGGATACTTTGTTTTGAGGTTCATGAAAGAAATCCTTCAGGCGAATCAATTAGAGATTCCGCTCACGGTATGAATTTATAACTTAAGATAATTTCATATAATTTATTACATTTAACTAAATATATCATTTATATTATGTTTTTGTTTTGTAGTACCTTGACGAATTCCGTGCTGCTGGGTACCCGAAGCTTAAGTTGGAAGAAATTAAAGAAGATTTGTGTCAATATTATATTAAGCAATTTTTCATGTAGGATTTGTGTCGATTTGAACTATAATATTATTGATGTAATGATGTATATAGATAATTTTGGATATTATAATGGTATTATATTAGTATATATATTGTCTTACTGATGGCTGAAATAATAGCGTCGAAAATATATTACAGGTCAAAAATATATTACAGGTCGAAAATATTACAGGTCGAAAACATTACAGGTCGACTGGGAGGATTAAATTATAGGCTGCACATAAAAATACCTCATTTAGAAACGACAGCGCTTTTAAAAAGCGCTCTTAAAGGTCCACCTACTAAAGCGCTTCTTAGTAAAAGCGCTGCCAAAGACCAGTAAAAAAGCATAAAAAATTTAAAAAAAACGCAGCATACAAAAGCGCTTTTGGAAAAGCGCTCTTATAGGGGGGCCTATCAGAGCGCTTTTTCCAGAAAAAGCGCTCTCATAGGGGGGCCTACCAGAGCGCTTTTCCAAAAGCGCTTTTGTATGCTGCGTTTTTTTTTTAATTTTTTATGCTTTTTTACTGGTCTTTGGCAGCGCTTTTTGGGAAAAGCGCTCTTAAAGGGGGGTCTACCAGAGCGCTTTTTCCAGGAAAGCGCTCTTATAGGGGGTCCTACCAGAGCGCTTTTTCCAGGAAAGCGCTCTTAAAGGGGGGGTCTACCAGAGCGCTTTTGTTACCTACGCCAGCGCCAGCTATTAAAGCGCTTTTAAGCGCTTTTAAAGGCCAAAATAAGCGCTTTAAAAGCCCTTTTCCGTAGTCGTGCATGCTGAAAGGGATCATGAAATTCACCTTTAGAGAAACCCCAATAGAATTAATCAATAATTGAAGCCAAAAGGATCTTCGTCAAAAGGGAAACAAGTTTAGGGTGCAAGACCAATACAACCCCTGCAAATGCAACAACAGTAAGAAGTTTCACTTTGGATAATGCAATAGTGGATTGTAGAAATTCTATCAGTGTCGTGACATGGGTCACATAGAAAAGGATTATCCAAATCAAAGGGTTCGGGTAGGAGAATGGACAATATTAGGTAGGACATGTAGAGTTTGATCCTTGGACACTAGAAAAGATAAGGGTAACAACAACTTAATAGATGGCATGTGTCATATGCATGGTCAACCTCTCTTTGTTATTTTTTATTGCAAAACGCCACACTCCTTCATTTTATCCAACTGTATGTGAAAAATCTTAGGTAAGAAGTTGTTTTTCTACCGTCCCCGATGATAGTCACCACTGTGACGAACAATAATGTAGAAACTCAATTGGTATGTCAGAATTGTCTGATCTCTATGAATGGTCGTACCTTTTGGATTGATTTGATATTCTTACCTTTCAATAGGATAAATGTGGTGTTGGGAATGGATTAGATCTCCTCCAACTTGTTGTACATTGGTTGAAAGGAGAAATCCATATTCTTACCTACTGAAGCATCCACCCCAGATGACGTGATGTGCATGATTTTGGGAGGTATAATTGGCATGATCAATTTATTTTTTTAAGAAAGATAAGGATTTTATTCTCACTATGGATTCAAATGATAAAAAGGATATATAATTAATTCTAGTAGTGTGTGAATTTCTCAATGTGTTTCATGAGGATGTCACTTTTCATTTCACAAGAGAGAAGTGGAGTTATCTATATACCTACTTTTGAGAATTGTGCCATTTTCCATTTCACCATAACGTAGGCATCCAAGGGAATTAAGAGAGTTGAAGAATCAATTAGAAGAGTTGTCAGAAAAGCATTGCATTTCATTAGAGGTTCTCCTATCTTGTTAGTGAGGAAGAAAAATGGTGGCATGCGATTGAGCATTGATTATTGTCAACTTAACAAACTCACTATCATGAATAAGCATTATTTGCCTTAGATTGATGACCTCCTAGATCAATTGAAAAGAGCCAGTGTGTTCTCGAAGATTGATCTACGACCAAGGTATCCTCGAATTTGAGTAAAGATTTCAGACATGCTAAAAATTGCATTCAGGTCCTTGTATGGATATTATGAGTTCCTTGTAATGCCTTTTGGAGTGACCAATACTCGAAAAATTTTCATGGATTACATGAACCGAGTATTCCAAATATATTTAGATCAATCATTATGATTTTCATAAATGATATCGTAATCTACTTTTGTACTCCACGAGTGTGATTTATGCATGTCAAAAGTTAAATTCCTTGAACATGTGATTTCTCAAGGAGGTGTGATGACATGCCCTTAGAAACTTGAAGTTGTGATTAATTGGGAAAGCCTAAGAATGCATCAGGGCTAAAAGGTCCCTTCAAGGAAAATAAGTTGAATCAAAAGATATATTGGTCTGCACTAGACCATAAGTCACATAGGTGAAGTGGCTTACCGTTTACCATTACCACCTTCCTTATCCAGACTTCATGACATGTTCCATACTCAACCCTTTTAACCCATCCTTCCGAATACGATTGAGGTTGCAGTTGATCTCACCTTTCAACCTCAACCTAGCCGCATTATGGATTATGCAATCAAATTGATAAAGAATAAGGAAATACCCCTGGTGAAGGTGTTGTGGGAATAGTCATACCTCAGCGAAGCTACTTGGGATTTGGAGCCAAAAATGCAGACAAACTACCCTCATCTTTTAAGGTGATTTTAAATTTCGAGGGAAATTTTTTAATTAAGGGGGATGTAACATCTCTTGTTTTCCCTAAATTATGGTTAGTAAAACAATGAATGATTAGTAAAATTGTTATAGTTTTATAGGAAGGTTAGTGCCTACATTAATCTAAGCTCTAGCCCTTATCTCTAATTGTGGAATATTAGTAAGTCGTTTAAAGAAGCAAAGGGAAAAATGATAATTTCCCTAGTGAAAATATATGCCAAAAATGTGAAGGAAAACCTCATTTTCTTCTCATTCTTCTTCTTGTATGCTACTGATTTTTAGATAATCCAAATGGAGAGAAAGAGAGAGGGACTCTAGTAAGGGAGGAAATAAAAAGGAAATTGGTTGATCAATTGGAAGAATCTTGCGTTGCATGTGTGAATTTTGAACTCCTTGAAGAAGCATCATGTATGAAAACGTATAAACCTTCAATAGATCATCACCACCGTCTCTTTTTCTTCCCTAATTAAGGTTCCATTAGAGGTGGGGACCTTTTTAGTTTTTTATTTGGACTTAGATACTAGGACAAATGCGTGAAAGGGTTAATAGTAAATTATTGTTTTCTTGTTTACTTGTGTGATATTATGCATTAATTGTTGGATGATCATGAGTTATAACATGTTTATATTGGGTTTTGGCTCGAAAAGGATGTGAAATTACAGGCGTTAGGATCGAAAAATTAAAAAAAGGGTTTTTTATGCACAACTACGTGTCGTATCGCCCACTACGGGTGGTTGTAGCCACCCCTGGTCCTTCTATGGTTAGGGATAACTATGCACAGCTACGAGTCATAGCATCCACCACGGGTATTTGTAACTGGCCCATGTAAAATGTATAGGGCGAGGCTACAAATTTTATCACCCACCCCTGACTCATTCCTTTGTCAATCTTTTGAAACCCTAGTCGGTGTGATTGATGATATATTTCTTTACTATGCTTGTAGGGGATGTTGTGTTGATTAAAGGATTGAATTAACATGAAATTCATATAAACTAAGTAATAATAATGAATCATGTATATGCTTTGATAATTTCTTATTAAGTTAAAATAAATAATTCATGAAATGAGAAACCCTAGGATAGTGTTGGAATCCGATGGTAATAGATACTTGAAAGAGTAGTTGTACTTCGAGTTTGATAAGTATCAGTAACATTAATTTCAGAAGAAATCAAGTGTAATACGTATGGTGAATGTTGAGACTCCTAGAGCATTTCGTGAACGTAGTTAGTTATAAGGAGGGTAATCCAGGAAAAGTGTGTAGATCTCATCGTAAAACCCGCCTTAGTGGAAAGATTTAGCAGGAAGTCCCCGATTCCATAACATTAGACTTGGAAATAAGGAGTAGTACTAGGAAGTGGACGATTCATGAAGTTAACCACCTTCTGAGTTCTATATGGCTTGTGGAGCAAGTGTATCAACATTTACATATCGTATGACGCTGAATGAGCCTCGTTTCCTTTTATTTTGATATATGATACACGAGCGTAATTCTAATAGAATTGGATTAGTACTAGAAATCTATTGACTGAGCGGACTTATGGTTTAGTAGAACTCCACTCAGATAGCCATATATCACCCCATGTTGTTGATTCATTTTTAGATGAGCAGGTTTCTGCCAAAGGAAAAGGCAAGACGTCTTGAAGAGTTTGAAGATCGTGCTATCTATTTTTATTTGTGATGTATTTTTGCTCTTAGTATTGTATCAGACTGGTCATATATTCTATGCAAACATTATGTTCTATCTATGTGCTTAACATATATTGGATGTCATTTAAACACTTTTAATTGTATTAATACCAACACATAACATTTCAAATATGATAATTCTGGACGCATTTTTATTCGGGGTGTTATACCTTTTGCCACTATTATCATTATTATAGCTCCAACAGTGAATTTAAAAAATTAAAATTTATTTATAATAAGAGAAAGTATATTACTTTTCAATTATATAAAAGTCGAATGTTTTTTCTTGAAAATAGAAGTCTTTTGCCATGGTAAAGTGATATTTACATTATTTTTTTGCGTAAAATTCGCATGATTTTTTGTGTGTCATATAATTATTTGGTGTCTATTTATTTTGACTGTATTGATTGAAACTTTAATAAAAGTTATTCTCTTTTGACTGAAAATATAATTATTTGAAAAAAAATTGTTTTTTTAATAAAAAAACCCTTTCCTTAAATGAATTCTCTCCTCATGTTGTTTTAAATATTTTTGTTAACATAGATAAAAAATTCTTTACCAAATACATGCATTGTCATCATATTATATTTGACTATTGTTTATTCTTATTATATCAATTTATTCAACACTTTATCAAATATATATTGAAATATGATCGGATAAAATGTATTTCATCCATTTCAAAATTTTTTTTTTTTTTTTCTGTCCTAAAATATAAAAGAAAAAAATAACTTTAATCTTTTTCTAGATGAAATTATATTTAAATTGAATTTTATTTAATTTATTCTCTCTCATCTTTTTTATGACTAACAATCAATTGTAATTGTTTTTATATTTTTCTAAACAATTTACTTCAATAAAATCTTAGTCAAATTATTATGTTTTTATTTTTTTTAAGAAGTATCATTTTTATTTTTCTCTTATATTTTTAAACGGAAAAAATATATTCTTAAGTGAAACAACCTTTTTTTTTCTCTCTCAATAAAACACTACGACATTGTTTAATTTATCCTCTTCAGTATACCTTAGTTCTTAAAGTATCCGTTTAATTATAAGAATTTGATTTTGTAACATTAAAAAGATAAAATTCAATGTTTTTTTGAGACAGCTATAAAATGATCTTGAATTCCACTACATGTTGTATTAGACTCAAATTCCACATGAAATTAAAACCAATTAATAAAATGTGATACCCCTCATCACGTTATATAAAGTGATCATTAATATTAATACTTTTTTAATAAATACCTTTTTCATCCTAAAATAAAGGTCATAGTTTGAAAAATAATTTTTCCCAAAAAATAAATTATTATTTTTAATTTTCAATACAATTTTAATTTTTATATAATGTGATATTCCTCATCACATTATATAAAATGATCATTAATATTAACATTTTTTTAATAAATATTTTTTTCATTCTAAAATAAGTGTCATGGTTTGAAAAATAATTTATCTGGAAAATAAGTGTTATATTTAGTTTCCAATATAATTTTAATTTTAATTTTTCAATTGTATTATCTAATTAATATTATATATTTATTATTCTCTTATTCTATATTAATGATAATTTAAATACATTAAAAATTGATAAGGATAATTTTATAAAATAATATTTTCTGTCTTTTATATATTATTTTTTTTAATTTGTGTGAAAATATAAATATGACATTTATTTTGAGATAGAGAGTAATAATTTTATATATATTTTCAAGTTTATAAAAAAAGTCAAAGAAAAAATAAATACCTCATTGCTTTCCTCCTTTTTTTCGTGCTATATACCAAAGAAAAATAAAATCGCAACGACACAATTACTAGAATTTTGTCTGGTATCACCCACTTCTCTCTATATAAGCGTATACTTATGTTGTGACAATATATTCTCTCCATAAAAACACACCTTTTCTTTCACTTAATATTGTTGAGTTTTATTTTCTTCTTCTAGTTTTGTTGGCAATTCCTTCCCTACTACCCTCAAATCAGTAAGTAAGTGTTTCGTCTTGTAATCCCTCTTGTTTGGTTTAAAAAATTGTTATTTTTTGTTAATTTCAATATTCAATAGATATGAACACAGAGTGATTTAATGTTTTTATAAAATTAAAGAGTTGTTTTTATAGATTACAAAATTAAAGAGTTCTTACTTGTTATCTTGATAAATTCTAAAAATTTTGAATTTTGTTTTTTCAGGTGTTCTGAAGAAGTTGCTGCTAAAGTTGTGCACTAAAGTAAGAATGATATATATTTTTATTATAATTTATTTAATTAGTGATGCATGATATATTTGTGAATTTTTATCAATTTTGTATGTTAATATTATACTAAAATCCAATTTTCCTTTACTTTTTGTTCAGAATATTTTCGGATACAAAATTTTGCCCGAATTTAATTTTTTTAGATTTTTTTAAATTATGAACTTTTAACAAATTTTTTTGTACATAAACAAATTGTTTAAATTGAATGTTGAAATTTATATGAATTTATAATATTATAGGATGCATGAAAATTTGCAAATACAACAAAAATATAAGCCCTGATTTTCTTGAGTATAATTTGATAATAATCTTCATTATTTGTGTATCATTTTTCTTTTCTTTTGTTTTCATATTCTCCTCAAAAACATTCAAGTTATATACATCAATTTATTAAAGTTAAAAAATTAATCAAACATTCACAATACAATTACATATATGAAACTACTTCATCTAATGTAATAGATAGTATAAACTTTTACCATTTGTTAACATATCTTAATTATTTAGACCATATTGAATAATTTAATAGGTAAAAAACTCTTCAGTTATATTATATATATTTTGAGTGAGTTGCATTCAGTAGATCAATTTAATTATTACTTCCAAAAGATATTTTTTTTAAAACTTATAAGCTATTTTAATGCTAATAAGTGTAATGGAGGAAAGTAATTTAATTAATCTTTCATTAATGTATATAGTTCATAGATTATAGTCTGCTACTTATTATCTCGTGTTGTTGGCTTTTCATTTTGTTGTGGATTCTCTTAACCTTCATATATATAGTGTCATACATCTATTAAATTGTTAGAATACTAGAAGTGTTTAATAATATTCTAACATAAATGACCATACGGTAGTTAAGTTTGTAAATATATTTTACAGGTCTTATAAATAAATTCTGAATATAATTGTTTTTATATTTAATTTTGTTATTGTAGAGAAGAAAAAAAGTAGATATGACCGATTTGCCAAAGAAAAATGATGAAACAGATAACAGAAAAGATGAATCTGATGATAGTTCAAAAAGCAAGAAAGTAATATATTTAAATAGTAGTACGGACAATCAAAGTGGTCGACGAAGAAAATATCCAGAATCAGATGAAGAAAGTTCGAGATGTATTATACCCAACAATCAAAAAATAAGAGGGAAAAATCCAAATCAGCCAGTTAATATGGCCAAAAATAAAGAAACAGATGCATCAAAAGTTTCTCCCATATTTCAACCACAACATGAAAATCAAAGAAACGAAAGGGATTTAACGCATTCGTTATATACAGGGGTGAAATTCACTGGGGTCATTGATGGAGTAATTCCTGGAGGATACTTGCTCACTATAAGAGTGGGAAATGGTCTTGGTTTACAAGGTAAAGCTTTTTTCTCATCTCATATACTTGCACAAATTGGAGCAGGTGCTAATGTGAACGTTCCTTGGGCATGTCCCACTAATGTTGATCATACTCAAAAGGATTACAATCAAAATTTGAATCAAGAGAAGGAGAATGACCATCTTAGAAACACATGCAATCAAGAACCATTTAGAAATTTAGACATATACAAAAATCTTCTTGAAATTGAAACAAATGATGAGTTACATTCATATTACTCGGATATTGAGATGCCTCATTCATCTGGATCAGATGTGCCTGATCCTTTACTAGTCACAAATAAATTTACGCCTATTGTGCTCAAGCAAGTTAATCCATTAACTGGGGTGCCAGTTGATCAACCAAAATCTCATGATAAAGGAAAACAAATACTTAAAGATTACTATACTCCAAATCCAAAAGATTACAGAATCGGCATAGATCCTTTTTTACCAAAGAAATTTCCATCTCCGGCCATCAGTATAAGTCCACCTTGTGATGGTGTAAGAAAAAGATATGCCTCTACTGAAATTTTAGTCACTGAACAATATGCAAGACTTTCTCAGCCAGGTACATATTAATCATCTTTTGATCAAAATATTATAATTAAAGTCCATGAATATTATTCAAGAACTGAATGAACATGTGTATAGGTTTATCATCACTTAATCGAAACACAAGCCAACAATTGTTGCTCAAGAATAATGAAAAGGTTGTGCAATACCAACCAGTTGGCGTAAGAAAAAGAAATGTCACTACTGAAATTTTAGTCCCAGGACAATATGCAAGACTCTCACAATCAGGTACATATTACTAATTTCTTGAGTAAAATATTAAAATTAAAGCCCATGAACATTATGTAAGAGCTGACTAAACATATGTTCAGATCCATCATCACCTAATCGAAACATAAGTCAACATGCGTTTCTCAATAATAATGAAAATGTTGTGCAATTCCAACCAACTGCCGTAAGAAAAAGAAATATGTCTACTGAACTTTTAGACACAGAACAATATGTAAGACTCTCTCATCCAGGTACATGTTCAACATCTCTTGATCAAAATATTAAAATTAAAGTCCATAAATATTATACAAGAGCTAACTAAACATGTGTACAGATTCATCATCATATAATCAAAATATTAACCAACATGAGATGCTCAAGAATGATAAAAAGGTTTTGCAATACCAACCAAACAGCGTAAGAAAAAGAAATATCTCTACTGAAAATTTTGACACTGAACAATATGCAAGAATCTCTAATTCAGGTATATATTCATCATCTCTTGATCAAAATATTAAAATTAAAGTTCATGAACATTATGCAAGAGCTAACTAAACATGTGTGTAGGTACATCATCACTTAATCGAAACACAAGCCAGCATGCATTGCTCAAGAATAATGAAAAGGTTGTGCAATGCCAACCAACTGACGTAAGAAAAAGAAATGTGTCTACTGAAATTTTAGACACTGAACAATATGCAAGATTCTCTCAGCCAGGTACATATTCGTCATCTCTTGATCAAAATTTTAAAATTAAATTCCATGATTATTATGCAAGAGGTGAATAAACATATGTACATATTCATCATCACTTAATCGAAACACAAATCATCATGCATTGCTCAAGAATAATGAAAAGGTTGTGCAATAACAACCAACTTCTTCAAATCTAATTGATATGGTGAATTCAATTTTTGCAACAACTCATCGAAAGAGATTAAGGAGAAAACATTGTATGCATGTTACTATTAATAAATTGATTTATCATGTTTCTAAAAAGTTCCAAGGTAATTTTAATTTCTTAAATGTTGTGTTTAATTTAATGTTTTATGTGAAAAAGGTTCTATCATTGAGCAGCAAGAAAATAAAAATTTTATTGACTTGGAGAGAGAAAAATATGATGATGATGACAATACAAAATCAAATTCTACATCATAACCTTCTAAAGCAGTTAGACACATGCAGGTAATATAGCTTAAAACTTAATTAATTTTACCTTATTTGTTTATGATATTATTTTAGTTTATATGTACTAATATATATATAAATATGATGTTTTTGTAGGATAATAGTTGATTGGGAGATGAATTGGTCAACCAAATTACTAAATGCTCCAGAGATTGCATATTATAAATATAGTAGACAATTGGCAAAGTTAAGTGATATTGATATTTTAGATGGTTTTCTAAGTTTTGGTTGAATTGTTACTTTGATGGATTTTAGATTTTGTTTCTCATTAAATAAATTTGGTTGTTTTTCTATTGTATTATTTAAGAATGGTGAATTGAATTAGTTTAAATTTAAATATTATTGGAGCTTAGTTAAATTATCATGTGCGACAATATTTTAAGTAAGAGGATACACATTCCTTATTTACGGAAAAGAAAAGGAAAATGACGGGATAAATAAAAAACAATAAGATTTTTTGGATTATTTGGAAAGAATGACTTTTTGCCAAAAGAAAAAAAATCTTATTATTGTAAAGTTCTATCTCAACTCTTCTTTTTCTTCTAGTTTCTTATTTTTAATTTTATAAAAAAGTCAAATAAAGATAAAGTTAAAATTTATTATATTTAATGCATATTTACCCATTTTCTTTATCTCATCATATTTTTCTCCCTTTTTCCTAAAAATAAAAAAAAAAAATATATATATATATATATATATATATATATATATATATATATATATATATATATATATATATATATATATATATATATATATATATATATATATATATATATATATATATATATATATATATATATATAACAAAATAAAATACAACGACGCAATGACCTAAAATCACTTTTACATACAATGTTTATTATCGGTCTTCAGGAGGGTTCTCTTACATACTCATGTTTTGAAAGTACTTCACTATAAAAAAACACATATTCTTTTACCTCAAAACACTCACAATTTCTCAAATCACCCACAATTTTATTTTCATCTTCTATTTTGTTTACTCTTCTTTCGTTATCCTACCACCCTATTATCATTGAGTGATTGGTATTGCAATCTCTTCTTTTGATTTTTTTATAAGTTTTAAAAATATTTTTAATTTTTTTTAACATACCACATCAAATCATTTTAATCAAGAATATTGATTATCTCTATTAATTAGTGTCTTTGTAGCAGGAGATCAATTGTTGGATTTATTCCAGAAATGTGAGTTTTAATCTCTAACATGATAGATAAAATTGATTTCTTATTTTTAAATACAAAGAAAACTGAGAGATACGAGAGAGTTATATCCTTCAATATACATATGAATTTGAATACTTCTCAACGAAGGATTAAACATTTCAAAAATGCTGCGATTTTTTATATTTTTTAATATTTTGAAGGGATGACTTTTTGTCTTATGTATGAATATGGTTGTATTATGCACCTCTACAATTTTGGATCGATTATTAGATTCATACAAAAACTACAAGCATTAACCACTCAGATGCTCGATGAACATAAAGGTCGATATCCAGATATAGAGACAACAAAAGTCGGATATGATCCAATCTTTTGGATATCTAGATTAATTAATGGGTTGTTGATGAAATATTAAACAAATCACCAATGCTTTTTAAATTTTCATTCTTACAAATATCGTAAAACTTTAAAACGATAGTGTTGGGAAAGTTTAGGGAGCAAGGTCCGGAAGTATCAGGGGTCAAACGTTCATGGTTACAAGGGACTTTGACACCACATATTCACCCAAAATCTTAAGGCAATGGGGTACGAATCACCTCTCTTATAAACTCAATATTTCCTCCATTCCTAGTTGATGTGGAACCTTGCACAACTTTCACAGTTGAAATCCAACACTCACCTCCACAAGTGTGAGTCTTCCACATCACTAGACTTGATCCAAACTAGGATTCACTTCCGCTCCCCCACCGAGCCAGCTGATCAATGGTTTTTACACAGGAATTTAGTATTTATTTTAGTTATCGTTTCTTTTAATTGACGGGTGTTTTATTTCAGTTTACCATATTTTATGCTTTGATGTTGTGTTTTAGTGATTTCAGGTTCAAAAGAATAAAACAGGACAAATCAGGGCAGAAAAGTGCAGTATTCAGAGTTCAAAAAAAAAACGCTTCAGGAGCCCTCATACGGGTGGTCGTGTCACCTGACACGGGCCGTGACAGGGGGGACTTGGCAAAAGTTTAAGTTGGAAGCAAGGTCAAAGGCGACACAGCCCGCGTCAAGTCAGCTGAAGCATGCACTTTTGGAGGAAGGATCACGGGTGCCCGTGTCCACTGACGCGGCTCGTGCCAATTCAGCTGAAACCAAAAAGTGTGAAAAGAGAAGATCACAGATGCTGACACGGCTGCCCGTGTCTGGTGACATGGCCCGTGTCAGCCTAGGCGCTTGAAATTCCAATATTGAGATTTTTCCGTATTCTTGGATCATTAAGGGTACTTTGGACATTTTGTATCATTGAAGGATGACCTAACGCTATGAAAACCTGTTTGTGAGAAGAAGAAAAAAGACTTTTTTTACAGGAGACTAATTTAACGATAGAAGATATAAGTCTATGCATGTTTTGGGATAACTAAGACCTTTCATGAGCAGAAGCAATTGAAGATCAGAGTTCACCTTCAATTTGTGCAATGTCTATCTTTATTTTTATTGAAATCTCTTTGAATATTATGTGCCGATGAACCGCCCAATGCTAGAGGGTGTCCTTGACTTAAAATGTTAAGAATACTGATCTCTTTGTTTTATTCAACATAACAATTTTTATACATCAATTTGATTGTTTAGAAGAATTTATAGTTTTACCCTATAGGACCATAGGGTTTCATTGTTATTAACACATCAGAGCCGAACGATCGTGTTAAGGTTTTCTAAATAATGATATTATAGATGATTTCACCTAGGACTAGGGCAATCCTATGATAACCAGAATAGTTCTTGATAATTTAATGCTTAACCTCAAAACTAATTTGAATGGACATTGGAATTAGGATAGAAGGTTAAAGGTTTTTCACTAAGGACTTATGGAAAGATAATCTTAAGAATCGGTAATTGAGGTTGATGAACTTGTTGAAGAGGTCAAAGAGTGAAGGTTATTTCATGGCAAATCATACACTCACCCCTAGCATCTTTTAATCAAACAAAAAAAGTCACATTTTACTTTCAGTCATTTAATCTTTCGCAAGGATTTAATCCAATCAAACCCTAAACTATTGTTTTTGTTTAATTGAATTAATAATAAAACTCAGTATTTCCTATGTAGTCCTCGAGATCGATACTTTGGGGAAATCCCATTATTACGACATCAGTGAGAATAGTACACTTGCTATTTTTCCGATCACCAGCCAAGCCTCTGATACCACTTGTTAGAACATAAACACGATTATAGATCAGAATAGAGAGAAACACACAAAAGCTTTGTTCACACAGTTCGGGCAAACTACCTACGTTTACGACTATAGATAGTTTATCTAAAACCCTAATCTCTAGTTTCCCTCAACAAACAATTATCTCTATCCATAATTATCTCAACAATATGAGTTATTCTCTCAACAACCTATAGTTATATCAATAACCCATAATTATCTCAACAATATAAATTATACTCCCAACAACTCATATTTATCTCCACAACCCATACCTCAACAATATTAGCCATATTCAACAATCTCCACCTTACCAAATATCAAACACCTATGAAGACTTTCTGCATAATGATTTATCCTGGAAATTGGGGAGGTACACCTCTTGTTTAACACCTAGAAACATGTAACACGTCCAAATACTGTTCGAACCTTGGCCCCTCAGTTGAAGCAGGAGAAGAGCTTGTGGGGAAGATCTCTGTTTGACGCTGCACGTCAGCAACATTCTTAGGTTTGGGGTTATTGGGAGCGTTAGAGAGGAAAGCCATTGTTATAAGATAATAAGGAACGAAGATGACGGTGTAAGTTGTTTTTCTGTAGAGGAGATTAAAAATGCTAAGTGTTGTGAAAGTTCCAAAAGAGAGGGCTCAAGGCTATTTATAGTGTCCAGAGGGAAGTGTGTCTCGTCAAGGCCATTTAATGCTATGGACATAGTGGGGTACGTGGCAAGCAGCAAAGCAGTTATTGTACAGGTGATGGGGAATGTTTGACATGCTTGCCTAGGTTCTAGGAGTAATGGTCATAATGGCAGCATGGTAACGGCTGATTGAAAAGACGTCTTGGGAAAAGAGTAATGATGGTTCTGAGTGTGGAAGCTGTTGGAAGGCGAAAAGCACACGTTAAGCCTTTTGGACAAAAGAGACAAGTGTCAAATAGGAATGTCAAAGAATGACTATTTATCTCGACGTCGAAACAGGAATTCTTGGTGGGAAATTTGTTGGCTCTTGAATTTGACACCTACTATATATTGGCCCCATAGACCAAAAATAGAGCAAATAAAGCCAAGCTGGAAAATGCTTCGACGGATGGAAAAAACTTAGAAAGAAAATATCTGAGTTACAAATTGGTCTTCGACTAGACATCATCATCAAGTCTTTGACGGGAAAGGTCCTGTGACCTTCGACTAGAAGAACAAACCTTTGTGTCAGCACCAAGGACGAAGGATATTTGAATTTGAAGATTGGAAGAAAATGCAGTTTGCCAGCAGTTAAGGGAAAGCGACGTGGCAGGAAGATAGAGGTCGAGGGACATGCACAAGACACTTGTCTTCATCCTAGAGCAAAGCCACCTCTCGACAGTTACATAATTTTAGTATAAAAATAGGAAGTTTGTGTAGATTATCTGTGTGTTCAACCTATTGTGCTAGTTACTCAATATTATTCAAGTACCCGCTGTGTGTGAAAGAATAACTGAGAATGTACGTTGGAAACACCATTTTTTATTAATAAAGTCTTTTTTACATTGCTTTGATCTTCTTTTGCAAAGTTTACATTTCCTACATCTTTACCTGCACTTCTAGTTACTTTCTTACTT